GCTGTGGGATCACAAAGCCCCACACCATTGGCTTTTCTGTCAAGGACTAGTAGTGTTTGTAATCCAGGATTTGGAGGACCAACCCATCCCCCAATACCTGCTTGTGCCCAAAGCTGCTTCCTTGAAAGAAAAGCACTTCCTCTAATTTTACACCTTTTCAAAATAAGACTTTTATTTGAAGCGGAAACAAAGTCACCACGCCTGTTCTAGCAATAAATTTGTTTAACCTCTCTCTCACACACACACAAACTCAGGTACAAACATAAAAGTCAAAAATCAGGTGGAAAAAGGTTGTCAGGCCTGCTCTAGAAGTAAATTTGTTTAATCTCTCTCACACACAAACGCAGGCACACAAGTCAAGAACCAGTCTTGCAATAAGCTTGTCCTTAGTCATAATCATCCACAGCCATAAAACCTGAAAAGAGTACTGACAAAATGTCACATGCTCCACTTATTGAACACTTAATCAGCTGTAAAGACATTGCTCAAGAATATCTACCTCTGCAAGGTTCCTTCAGGCAGCTAGAAACAAAAAAAGCTAATGTTTACTTCAGACCTTAACAGAGTGCTATAAATTTCCACTAGTTACACTACCTCATCTTTACAACCAATCGTACACCAAAGGAGGAATTATTCACATACCGTCTATCCCAAAGACAAGTGACCTTGAGAACAAGTAGGCTTTCAATTCCACTTCTGAAATCTTGATGTTAAACAAATTCAAACTTCCACAAGATCACAAACCCTCAGGGTAAACCGGTTCTGTTGAGAGATAATTCCTAACTGGGAGTAAGCAAACACATGCACAAACCCAACTTTACTTTAAATAGCAGGCAAACTTAAATGTTTTAGGGCATTTTTAGTGTAGCATACCTGTGAAACAGTTAAGTACTCAAAGACCATTCTGGCACAGAAAGTCTACTAAAAGTTTGTTTCAAACAGGGGCACAATTCTCTTGCTTTGGTCAGCGGAGCTTCAAGGTGAGTCATTTCAAAACAACAGCAACAAAGGAACCCACGATTCCCAATTTCCGCAAGAATGAATTTATTTGATTGACATCTCCAAAAGGTATTAAGGAATTACTTACAAAACAAATAAAATGTCTCTCATTTCACAACCATACACAATGCACATGAAAAGTGTTTTAAACAAATGCTACGGTTCCGGTACAGGGTTTTCGGGATTGTAGATCGTTCCAATGTTTTTGGCGGCTCCTTGTAAGCCGCAATAGAAAAAAGGGGGCAACATCTGGACCGCATTAGACAGCGGACAAGCGAAGACAAAAGAGGAAATGGACCAAAAATGAAAATAAATCCTCGCTCTCTCCTCCACCTCCAGGGACACATCTGTTTCTTTCTTCTGCTCCGCTGGCATTTGAGGAGGCCCTTTTGTGGGACCCCTGCAGAGAGGCCTGCCGGTGCCAATCCACAGGAAATTTTTTGCAAGAGGACATTCCAGGTCCTTGTTTTCAAAGAAACACTGTGCTTGTAGGCAGCGCTTCACTTCTGGTTGTGCTCCTAGTGGGCCGAACCAGAAAGGACACAAAGCTAGAAGAAAGGCTTACTGGCTTTACATGCCAGGTGCTGCCACACAATGGAGGCGGGTCCACACAAAAGGCAGCTCACCTTCAGGATCAAAGGGGATACAAAGGAAACACACACACACACACACACACAAAATCACACTCCTCTGTCTCTTTGGGAATCCACATCCCATACTTCAGTTCACTTTAAAGGCTTGGGGGCTGCCTTACTCCAAAGCCTGGGGGGCGTCACCTGCCAATAGGGATGCTCATTCTTCAAACTTCTTGCTTACTTCAAAACCTGTTCCAAACTTTTCTCATCGCGTTCAGAGTGAGTGAAGTTTTCAGGCCAGCTATCCTCTCTGGATAAATTCCCTTTGGGGGGGGGCAACAAGTTGCTCAGGATCCCTACCTCCAGGTCTTTAAAGCAAGAGTGGACAGGGCAATGAGGATCCTTTTACACTGACACAGAATTCCGATTATCAAAGCAGATAATCCACACAATCTGTGGCTGATACCAGATGAGTGACTCCATCCTGGGCACACAGAAGATTGGGCAAACTGGAAGGCACCAAACAGACTGTGCTCTGGCACCACGAGGTGCAGAGCCAACCTTAAGGAATGGGGTCACAAAGCGGAATCCACAACATGTGAATGTGGAGAAGAGCAAACCACAGACCATCTACTACAATGCAACCTGAGTCCTGCCACATGCACAATGGAGGATCTTCTTATATCAACACCAGAGGCACTCCAAGTGGCCAGCTACTGGTCAAAGGGCATTTAATATAATGCAAAGTTTTAAAACTTTGTTTTTGTTTTTAAATACATTATAACTGTATTCTCATTTCACTTCTGACATGATAAATAAAAACTCATATAATCCTGCTTTGAGCTGGATTATATGAGTTTGCACTGCCATATAATTGAGTTCAAAGCAGATAATCTGGATGTTATATGGCAGTGTAGGCCCCTTCCACACAGTTGTATAAAACCCACACTGAACTGGATTATTTGGCAGTGTGGACACAGATAACCCATTTCAAAGCAGATACTGGGCCCTTCTAGACAGGCCCTCTATATCCCAGGATCTGATCCCAGGTTTTATGTTTATCCCAGATTATCTGGCAGTGGAGACTCATATAATCAAGGCCCCTTCCACACTGGGATATATAGCAGTGTGGACTCAGATAACCCAGTTCAAAGCAGATATTGGGTCATTTCATACAGGCCCTCTATATCCCAGGATCTGATCCTAGGTTTTTTGTTTATCCCAAATTATTTATCAGTGGGGACTCATATAATCAAGGTCCCATTCACACATCAGAATAAAATCCCCCATTTTTCTGCTTTGAACAGGGATATGTGGCAGTGTGGGCTCAGATAACGCAGTTCAAAGCAGATGTTGTGGATATTCTGGATCATATGGCTGTGTGGAAAGTTCCTGTATATGCATTTTGTTGTGGATACTGAAGGTGCACTCAGACCTCTTCAACAGGCCCTTTAACACAGTCATATAACCCAGAATATCAATCCAAAATGGGCCCTTCCGGACAAGTCTTATATCCCAGGATCAGATCCCAGGTTTTCTGCTTTAAACTTGGGGCCCTTCCACACAGCCATATAACCCAGAAGATCAAGGCAGAAAATCCTACAATATCTGCTTTGAACTGGGTTACCAGAGTCCACACTGCTCTATATCTCAGTTCAAAGAAGAATGTGGGATTTTATTCTGATGAGTGAATGGGACCTTGATTATATGAGTCCCCACTGCAAAATAATCTGGGATAAACAAAAAAAAAACTGGGATCAGATCCTGGGAAATAGAGGGCTTGTCTGGAAGCGCCCAATATCTACTTTGAAATGGGTTAATCTAAGTCCACACTGCATATATCCCAGTTCAAAACAGATAATGTGGGATTTTATTCTGATGTGTGAATGGGACCTTGATTATATGAGTCCCCACTGACAAATAAACTGGGATAAACAAAAAACCTGGGATCAGATCCTGGGATATAGAGGGCCAGTCTGAAATGACCCAATATCTGCTTTGAACTGGGTTATCGGAGTCCTCACCGCCATATATCCCAGTTCAAAGCAGAGAATGTGGGATTCTATTCTGATGTGTGGAAGAGGCCTTGACTATATGAGTCCCCACTGCCAAATAATCTGGGATAAACAAAAAACAAAAAAAAGGCTGACCTTGAGGGAGCTGGGGGTGGTAACGGCCGACAGGGAGCTCTGGCGTAGGCTGGTCCATGAGGTCACGAAGAGTCGGAGACGACTGAACGAATGAACAACAACAAACAGAAAACCTCGGATCAGATCCTAGGAAATAGAGGATTGTCTGGAAGGGCCCAATATCTGCACTGAAGTGGGTTATGAGTCGCACACTGCCATATATCACAGTTCAAAGCAGAGAATGTGGGATTCTATTCTGATGTGTAGAAGAGGCCTTGATTATATGAGTCCCCACTGCCAAATAATCTAGGATAAACAGAAAACCTGGGATCAGATCCTAGGAAATAGAGGCTTGTCTGGAAGGGCCCAATATCTGCATTGAAGTGGGTTATCCGAGTCCACACTGTCATATATCCCAGTTCAAAGCAGAGAATGTGGGATTCTATTCTGATGTGTGGAAGAGCCCTTGATTATACAAGTCCCCACTGCCAAATAATCCCAGAAAACCTGGGATCAAATATTGGGATATAGAGGGCCTGTCTGAAAGGACCCAATATCTGCTTTGAAATGGGTTATCTGAGTCCACATTGCCCTATATCCCAGTTCAAAGAAGAATGTGGGATTTTATTCTGATGTGGGAATGGGACCTTGATTATATGAGTCCCCACTGACAAATAATCTGGGATAAACAGAAAACCTGGGATCAGATCCTAGGAAATAGAGGATTGTCTGGAAGGGCCCAATATCTGCATTGAAGTGGCTTATCTGAGTCCACACTGCCATATATCCCAGTTCAAAGTAGAGAATGTGGGATTCTATTCTGATGTGTGGAAGAGGCCCTGATTATACGAGACCCCACTGCCAAATAATCTGCTTTGAACTGGGTTATCTGAGTCCACACTGCCATATATCCCACTTCAAAGCAAAGAATGTGGGATTGTATTCTGATGTGTGGATGAGGCCTTGATTATACGAGTCCCCACTGCCAAATAATCCCAGAAATCCTGGGATCAGATCCTGGGATACAGATGGCCTGTCCGGAAGGGCCCAATATCTGCTTTGAAATGGGTTACCTGAGCCCACACTGCCATATAATCCAGTTCAGTGTGGGTTTTACAGTAGTAGAGGCAGGAAGTCAAAGACATGTTGGGAAAGTTATCAAAACATCAATCAAAGTTCTTGAAGGGATAAATTAGGGGGGGGGGGTGTTCCCAAGCCTTGGATGCTGAACCCGCGGATACGGAGAGCCGCCCCAGCCAATGGTCGCCTGGCGCGTGCCCCCTGCTGCTCCTCTCACCTCCGCGAAGAAGAAGCAGCTGTCCATGGCTGCTGCTGCTGCTGGCGCGCGACCTCCTCCCCTCAGGAAAAGTGCTGCTGCTGTGGCTGCTGGAATAGGGCGGAGGGGGCCCGGGGCCTCGTCAGGGCCTGGCGGCTGCTTCTGCCCCTCTCTCCGCCGCCCTCGCCATCCCGCCCGGCCTGGCTCCCCTTCTCCTCCGGCCAAAGGGCTCCGCAGGCGCTCATTCAGGCGAGCTCGCCCTCTCTCTCCTTTTCCCTCAGCGCCGCATGGCTTCTTCCCCCGTCCTTCCGTCCTTCCTTCCACACAAGTTTTTGAGGTACTCGACCCGCGCGCGAGACGGGGAAGGTGTGCGCGTGCGTGCCTGCCTGTGTTTCCCTGAGCAGAGAGGGATGGCACGCGCACAAGCTCGCGCCCCCGCCCCGTCCCGTCCGCCCAAAGAGGGGCTTGGGCTACTTGGCTCCCTTTCTTTCTCCTGCTTCTTTCTGCTGCTGTTCCCCGGAGTCCCCCTGAGAGAGAGAGTGGCGAAAGCCACGCCCCCTCAGACGCCACAGCCAATCCCAAGCCAGCAGCGCCTCTTTGGAATCTCGAGGCGGGAGGCGCGCGAGCCGCTGCTCTCTTTCGCTCCTCCTCTTTCTCTTAACTTCCAAACAGGTAAAAAAAGGCTGAATTTGGGTTGTACAATTGATTCCACACCACTCTTAATGCCATCCAGCGCTATGGGTTGGAATTTGTGGAGGCAACAGCACTCTTTAGCTGACCTTGTGAAGGACCCTTCCACACAGCCATATAACCCAAAATATCAAAGCAGAAAATCCACATCTGCTTTGAACTGGATTATCTGAGTCCACACTGCCATATAATCCAGTACAGAGCTGAGAATGTGGATTTTATAGAGCTGTGTGGAAAAGGCCAAAGACTGCAAATTATTATTATTATTATTATTATTATTATTATTATTTAGATCCAGGGAAGTCATGCTACCCCTCTTTTCTGCTTTGGTCAGACCACCCCTGGAATGCTGTGTCCAATTCTAGGTACCATAATTTCAGGGAGTTGTTGACAAGCTGGAATGTGCCCAGAAAAGGGTGACTAAAATGATCAAGGGTCTGGAGAACAATCCCTATGAGGAGCGGCTTAAAGAGCTGGGCACGTTAAGCCTTCAGAAGAGAAGGCTGAGAGGAGACATGATGGTCATGTTTAAATATGTGAGAGGAAGTCATAGGGAGTAGGGAGCAAGCTTTTTTTCTGCTGCCCTGGAGTCTAGATGTGGAACAGTGGCTTCAAACTGCAGGAATGGAGATTCCATCTGAACATTAGGAAGAACTTCCTGACTACGAGAGCTGTTCACCAGCGGAACTCTCTGCCCTGGAGTGTGGCAGCGGCTCCTTCTTTGGAGTCTTTTAAGCAGAGGCTGGATGGCCATCTGTCAAGGGTGCTTTGAATGCGATTTTCCTGCTTCTTTACTGGACTGGATGGGCCACAAGGTATCTTCCATCTCTAGGATTCTATGATTCTATGGCTAGTATTATATTGTATTATATTACAGTATTATTAATAATATTATATGTATATATAATATATTACATTAATAGCATAGCACAATATTAATATTATATATTATATTGTACTATACCACTATACTGCAATATTTTTAGTAAAATTGCATGTAATTGTATATAATATTGTATTTTGTATATTGTATATAATAATTGTATATAATATATTAGAGGTATTGCACTAGTATTGTACAACAATATATATAATACACTACCAGTATATTATACTATTTATTATTATAGATTTATTTTTACATAACAACACAGCACATACGTATATTAGATCCAAGTGCTGGGTTTTGTCTCTGAATATTGGGCTCTTCCCAATGACCAAGGATATTAGATGCATTTTTGCAGAATATGCGCGGTTTCAAGAAGTTCTGCCTTCTGCAGCATGTAGATCAATGTTCTGTCCAAATTAAGGCTTTTCAGATTATTATTATTATTATTATTATTATTATATTTATACCCCGCTTTATCTCTCCCCAAAGGGGACTGGAAGCAGCGTAAAAGCATCAGCATAACCATTTAAAATATGCAAATATATGAACATTAAAAGAGGATTAAATATACACAGGATTTTTTAAATTCCCAGTTAAAAATAATTGGCAATGTCGATTCATATCATCCAGTTGAAAGCAGATAATTCGGATTTTATATGACAGTGTAGATGGGGCCTATGTAACATATTTTTGTTGCTGGGTTATAAATGTCATTTCCTAATTGATTCTATCATAAAAACATGGGGGGGGTATTAAACTGCAGAAAGGTTTAAATATCGCATATTTTCATTAAGGAAAATTACAAACGAAGTGCTCAGACTGAAGAAAATAATAGTACTACTCAACTTTGTTTTTGTGGTGCACACTTAAACAGAAAATAAGACTTTCAAACCAATAACAGATTTTATTTCCAATTTTGTTACATAGTGGAATCTGGATTCAGAAACGGGACTATAAAGCAGTGTAGATGGGGCCTGCCTTAAATTGACAGTGATTTACTCTTAAGTGGGATTTTGAAGGCTTCTTGATTCTCACCGACAGATTTCCCATGAATCATATGGTACAAAACTGCAAATGGTGCAGCTAAACTAGGCTCCACAAGAAAAGACCCTTGCAATGCAAGACTGCACTTCGAGAAAAGGAGGAGAACATGTTTCAAATATAAAGTAAAGGTATAAAAAATAAACATTTCTTTCCATCTTCCTGTTAGGTTTTGTTTCATTTTGAAACATACAATTTTATTTTACGGCTTCTTGATGTACATATTTTGAGTTAGATGTCTATGGGAATGAGTTGTCTGAACTCATAGATGTCTATGATTTAAATCAAGAAATAGTTTTCTAAGATCTACAGAGACACTCGCTGGAACACCTTAGCAAGTGAGAGTCCAAAAGTGGCAGGCTCAAACCCAGAACCTCAACCAATGGCTGATACCAAATGAGAGACTCCATCCTAGGCACACAGAAAACTGGCCGACTTGGGAGGCACTGAACAGACAGCGCTCTGGCAGCACGAGATGCAGAGCCAACCTTAAGAAATGGGGCTACAAAGTGGAATCCACGACATGCGAGTGTGGAGAAGAGCAAACTACAAACCATCTGCTGCAATGCAACCTGAGCCCTGCTACATGCACAATGGAGGACCTTCTTATAGTAACACCAGAGGCACTACTAGGAGTCCCCGGTGGCACAATGGGTTAAACTCCTGTGCCAGAAGGACTGAAGACCGACAGGTTGCAGGTTCGAATCCGGGGAGAGGGCGGATGAGCTCCCTCTATCAGCTCCAGCTCCTCATGCGGGGACATGAGGAGCTGAAGCCTCCCACAAGGATAAAACATCAAAACATCCAGGTGTCCCCTGGGCAACATCCTTGCAGACGGCCAATTCTCTCACACCAGAAGCGACTTGCAGTTTCTCAAGTCGCTCCTGACACAACAAAACAAAACAAAACAAAAAAACCCAGAGGCACTCCAAGTGGCCAGCTACTGGTCAAAGGACATTTAATCAACTACCAAGCTTGCAAACTTTATGTTTTGTCTGTCTGTCTGTCTGTCTGTCTGTTTGTTTGTTTAAAATGCAATACAACTGTTTGGTTTGCTCCTGACATGATAAATAAATAAATAAATAAATAAATAAATAGATGTCTATGAGTTAGATGTCTATGGGATATTTTAAGGGCTTAGGCTCTCTAAAGTCCTTATTCGGCCCTGAGATCCACCCATGAATTTGGCTATCTGCAGACATAAGGTCTTCTGCCCTGCTCCAGACTTTTTCCTATTTATCTGCATGAAGACCAACAACCTGGAGGAGGTGTGTTATGTTGAAAAGGAGAAGCAGCTTCAGCTAGAGAAGACACTGTTCCTCTCCACCAAAAATAATAATTCTGTCCACCCCATGAGGTTTTTGTTCAGGCTCCAAATTTCTAGCATCATAATAACTTCCAGCATTTCAAGAAATAGGGTTTAGATATCCAAAGAGCAGAGTAGAGTGTCCATCTCTGGAGGTATGTAACAGAGACTGGATGTCCATCTGTCAGGGGTGTTTTCATTATGTTTCCTGCATGGCATGGGGTTGGACTGGATTGTGTATGTGGTCTTTTCCAACTCTATGGTTCAACTATTCTATGATCCAACAGCAGGATGGCCTCCCATGGTCTTTCCACTTTCTTCAGCTAGAAGATCCCATTTTGATTCTTTGTTTATATTATTTTTGATGTTGTTTTCATAAATATGTAGACTTTTCCCTAGGTCCGAGACACAACGTATCTTAGAAAAAATAAAACAGATACATTTCTTCTCTGTTCCTTCGATAATTGCAGATAACTATGCAAAAGGACAACCCCCATTACAGTAGAGTCTTGCTTATCCAACATAAATGGGCCAGCAGAACGTTGGATAAGCGAAAATGTTGGATAATAAGGAAGGATTAAGGAAAAGCCTATTAAATGTCAAATTATGTTATGATTTTACAAATTAAGCACCAAAACAGCGTGTTTTACAACCAATCGACAGAAAAAGTAGTTCAATACACAGTAACGTTATGTAATAATTACTGTATTTACAAATTTAGCACCAAAACATTGCAATGTATTGAAACAGCTGTGGATCCAGGCGAGAGGCAGACTGCATTGGATAATACAGAACGTTGTGAGGCTCTACTGTACTTCCAAAACAAATCACCATGATCATAACTAGTTCTCATCACTGCCGCGCCATTAATGCCTTTCATACTATTTGAATTCAAATTCCTGTTAATATGGGAAATCACAGGATAATCTTGAGCAAGTCAGCAGCTGCAAACCTCAGTTTCCCATCTGACAAGTAGAAATAAGATGTTGGCTGCTCAGGGTTTCTGTGGAATTAATGCTACAAAACACTGAAAAATGCATTGTATATATTGTTCATTTGATTTAATATCCTGTTCATTTAATGGTGGTAGCCGCCATCCATTATTTCAGTCCGCCAGATATTTCCTGAAACATTTTCAATTGTGGAAAAAAAAAAAAACCTTGAACATGAACAAGGCTGAATTCTGGCTCACAATAATGTGTTACTTTTTCCTGTACTGACTGGAAGGTAAACCATATTGTGTGCTTTCTATGTACCCAGATGCAGCCAAATAAATTACAAAAAGCTGCTGTTCAGCTGAGTGCTGGGGAGTTAAATAGTGTTCATGAAACATTCATAAAGTCTGTTACTACAGTTCTATTTATAGGAATAATTTCTTTGAAAAGTGTGTTGCACGTACTGAATCATAAGATACCTGGTGATACTGTATGCAGCTTCTGAAGCCTCGTGAAGCATTAGCAGAAACTATTAAGAAACTAGTGATTTTTGCCCATGCAAAATTTACAGGGAACGTGTAGCATTTTCACAAAATTCAAAATTAAATTACCTAAATGCCTTTCTAAACCACATAATTT